ATGGTGTTGCGCCTAAAACTTTTGTTTTCATAAACTCAAATAATTCTTGTATGTTCCAGGCAGTTGACTTGGAGGATTCACCTCAAACAGATTAGATGTACCCTTCCTCAATTACCAGGCCCTAAGAGCCTAAGCCTCCCTACTCCTCACCTTTCTCAGGTACTGATACCCTCCCCTTCAATCACCAGGACCTAAAGAATTTTTTTCCCCTAAACTTAAGCTTGTACTCTGCTCTGACAGCACCTTGCTAAGAGACACAGGACAATTCCACGGAGTCTGGACAGCAGTGAAACAACCAGACACCCCAGGATGTGGCCCCCACCCCAGCTTTCTCAGGTCCAAGATTTCAATGCACACAAATCAGCAGGAAGCAGTCTTGAGAACCCAAAGGCCCCTATCCTGTCATTCCCTTTCATTTCCCCACCTTTTACAATAAGAAAAGGATGGGAATGTTAGAATTCAGGCATTTTGCTGGCCCTGTCACCTGGCGGGATGCATCCAGGCAGTACCCTAGCCAGCTCAGGGTCCTATGGCTGCTATATCACCGTGTAGTCTGTATGTAGATGAAAAGGTCCCTTTAAGAGACAAGCTCTGCCCATTCCTGCTCTCTCTTTCCTGCTGCTCTTACGAAGGATCAGGTAGAACTTTTCTTGTCTCTTCTCTTTTCTCCCTCTCTCTCTGTCTTTCTGTTTCTCTCTCTGTCTCTCTTCTCTTCTCCCTTTCCTTTCCCTTTCCCCACTTTCTTCCCTTCCCCCAGTAAAACTCCCCACTTAAGTTCTATCTGCTTGGCCGTGTTTGTCTCTCACCTCTCGTGGGGCTTTCTGCAGGAGTCCCTCTTGTGCTGTTTTATAACGGTAGTGAGCCTATTATTTAGTCAGTCATGGGGATCTTGACCCAGTTAACAGTAACATGCATGAGCTCTGTCTCATGGAATAAACTCTAAAGAGAGTTAGAATGTATTTGGTTATTGGCAAATCTTACCAGGCCAGTATTACTGTATCAAATAGGGTTCACATCTAGTTTAAACTGTTCGTGACTTTTTTTTTCTTTTCTCCTCAGGTAAGGTGCATAGAACTTTCTAGCACTTCAAAACTTAGCCAGATCAGTAATAACTTGGCTTCTTCGTGTTCCACGACTCAAGTTTGTTGTATCTTCAACAACAAAGTCTTGTTGTTGTTTATCAAATAATTTTTTATTGAGATTAACCTTTATTGCCCTCCAACTCCCTTTTCTCTTTTAAAAATGGTTTTAATTGAAAGATAATTACATCACTTCCTCCCTTCCCTTTCCTCCGCATGTACACTTCTTCCAACTCACCCCATGCCCCCCACCTGTCAAATTTGATAGCCTTTTTCCTTTGATTATTGTTATTACATACACACATACATACACATATGTAAATATATGATGTATGTATTTGCACAAATATACAATTACAATCTGTTCAGCCCATTTTTGTTGGTGGTGTGTATTTAGTTTAAGGCTGACCAATCTGCACTGAACAACCAATAAGGTGGCTTATCCCCAGAAGAGATACATTCTTCTCCCAGCAGTCACTAGTTGCCTATGGTTCTTTGTTTAGGTGTGGGACCCCCATAAACATTTTCCCTTCCATGTTATCATGCCCATTGATATTACGGTTATTGTTCCAACCTTGTTTACATGGCCATTTCTAGGAGTCTGTTTCACTGTGACTCTCTTGGCATTCTGCCTCATATACTATTTAAGCTTCCTCTTTCCCAGTGTTCCCTCAGCCATATATTCAGTAGCTGTGATGTAGTTGTGTGCGTTATGGCTGAGCTCCTGGGGTTCCATTGATCTCTGCATTTTGTCCAGTTGTAGTTTTCCGTGATGGCCTCCATTTGCTGTAAAGAGAGACTTCTTTTATAAGGGGTGGTAGCCACACGTATCCAGGAAATGTAGCTGTGTCTAATGAGGGTTCAAGGGCTGCAGGCCTGAATTTAGGCTTGTAGGTTTGCAGGTGGCTATTAGTAAATTCTTACAACCAACTGCAATTACTCTTGGTTACTCTCCAGAATGTGCCTAATTTTTGTTTGGATCTTTTCTCTTTTTCCCTCTTTGCTAGAGTACATAAAAGCTTGCCAATTATATCTTTCCCACAAGCTACTCTTTGTTTAAATGATCTTTTGGCAGTGTTTGGATTTGTTTTATTTCTGAGTTTTCTATTTCATTATTTCGGCATCAGTCTTTGCTACTTCTTTCCTTCTGCTAATTTGGGGTTTAATTTGTTTCTTGCTTTTCTGATTTATTGAGCTGCATCTACAGGCTGTGCATTTGAACTCTTTCATCTTATTGTGTAGGCACTAAGTGACATAAATTAAGTTCTCCTAAAGCTGCTCTTATGGTGTCATACGGGTCTGAATAACGCCGCATTTGTATTTGTTCCAACAAAATTTTAATTTCCCTTTAATTTGCCCATTGACTTATTGGTTATTCAAAATAATGTTGTCAAGGTTCCTTGTTACATATTTTCTAATGTTTCTTTTGTTGTTTTTTTTAAGTCCTGTTATGTAATGGCCTAAGAAAAATGCATGCTGTGATTTCAATTTTGCCTCAAGTTTCTGAGATTTGTTTCATGTCTTAGTACATGGCCTTTACCTAGTGACATTGTCTTCATGCCTCCGAGGTCAATGACAGCTGGCTAAAGGAAAGAACATGTGTCTGTTGGGTCCATTGGTTGTAGAGTTCTGGAGCAATGCTTGCAGATATATTTTTTTTTACATTTTTTTGAGAATTTTATTCATTAGTACTATATTTATACCATTTCTACTCACCTCACCCTCCAACTCCATCCATGCCTTCTACTCCCTCTTAAATTCATGACCTCTTCTTTAATCATTATTGTAACATATAAGCCTATGTATATATGCAACCAAGCTTTCTCTAGACTGCCAGCTCCCAAATAATGATATGGAGACTTCTTGTTAAATATAAACGTTTGACCTTATCTTAGTTAGGCTTGTTCCAAACTCACTCTTATAACTTAAATTAACCTATGTATATTAATCTACATTCTGCCATGTGGCTCATTACCTCTCCTCAGTACCTTAGGTCTGACTTCCTCCACGTTTGGCTGGTGAGTCTCCCTGCCTCAGATTCTTCCCAGAGTCCCTATCTCTACCTGGAAGTCCCATCTATCCTCTCCTGCCAAGCTACTGGTCATTCAGCTCTTTATTAAACCAATCAGAAGGTGCCTTAAGCAGGTGAGGAAGGACTGAGACACAGTTTTACATAGTATGATCAAATATCCTGCAACATAGATATATAAATTCAACTCATTGAGTGCATTTAGTGCTGCTCATATGAATATATGTGTTAAGGGATAACTGTTCAAAATCAGGTAACCTATCATCAGGTAGCTTATCCCAGACAAAGATCATGTATGGGTGACTTCCCATTGGTTAAAGGCCCCATTCACTCTTGTGTGGGATTCTCTCTCTCCCTTTGGATCTAGTAACATTCAATTTATAGAACAGTGCCCCAGTGTGGTGTGCATATATTTACAATTACCATGTGCTCTTGTTGAGCTGACCCATTTATCTCTGTGCTGACCATGGCAGTCAGCTTTCTACAGTGTGACACATACAGAAAGAGTTTAAAAGAGGGAAGATTTGTTTTGGTATTATTTTAGAGGTTTCAGCCAATGTGTGATTGCATCTGTAGCCCGAGTCTGCACTGGGACAGAGTACTAATGGCATTTAAGGTATGCTGGAACATGGATACTAGCCTTGTAGTAACCAGGAAATGGGACAAGAAAGGCAAGGACAAGTTACTCCTTTCAAAGGTACACTAAAGGGGCCCATCTCCACCTTGTGCCCCTTCTCTTTTTCCTACAAATATAATATTTTCATTAATTGGGAATTCCATACAATGTACTCTAATCTCACTTGGTTCCCATTCTTCACAGGTTCACCCTCCCACACTTGTGTCCCCCCAAACCAACAAGTTCAATTTGTGTTGCCTATATACTCACTGGAGCATGCTCAAACTCCCAGTTGCCAGCCCCTTAAAGAAAACTGAGCCCTTCTTGGTGAGGTCCTTCTGTATTTGTGTTGCTTTCATTGGTTAATAAACTGCTTTGGGCCTAGTGATAGGGCAGAACTTAGGTAGGTAAGGAGACAGAACTGAATTCTAGGAGGAAGAAAGAGAGTCAGATAGGGAGAGCCACCATGAAGCTGCCAGGTCAGACATGCTGAATCTTTCCCAGTAAGCCACGACCTCATGGTGACATACAGATTATTAGAAATTGACTGAATCAAGATGTGAGAGTTAGCCAATAAGAGGCTAGAACTAATGGGCCAGGCAGTGTTTAAATGAATACAGTTTCTGTGTGATTATTTGGGTTGTAAGCTAGCAGGGCAGCTGGGACCAAAAGCAAACCCTCTTTCTCTCAACACCTTCTCCACCCCACCTTTGCCAGAAACCATCAACTGTGAAGAACTACACTTCAGCATCTTTATCAGTTTTAAGGACTCTCTTCAACAGTTTCTTGTTTGGACAGTTTTTTAGGAAGAGGGCCCACTTGTTCATCCTGGCTGCCCAGTTAGCTTAGACCTGAAATAATTACACAGGAACTATATTAATTAAATCACTGCTTGACCCATTAGCTCTAGCTTCTTATTGGCTGACTCTTACATCTTAATTTAACCCATCTCCATTAATCTGTGCATTGCCACATGGCAGTGGCTTACAGACTAAAGTTTCAGCATGTCTTACTCTGGCAGTGGCTCCATTGTGTCTCTCTGGCTCTGCCCGTCTCTTCCCATACTATAGGCCAAGGCAGTTTCTTTCTTTTTTTTTTTTCAGCATGGCTCTTTTCAGTTTATTGCATGAAGGAATTACACTAGTCCATGTTAAAAGCAGACCCCAAATGGTTACATTATACAAGCTGTGAGGTTTTTAAACTTGTGACAAGGGACAGGAGGGAAATTCTACTCATTGCAAGGAAATCCTCATTTAAGCTTCAGAGTCACAAGCACTTAAAACTCATGAACCTTCAGCTGATCATCCTTAGCCAGTCCAATCTCTATTAGGAACTGGCATATGTTCTTGCGCTGGTCACCCTGTAGCTGAATTACTTCTCCATATTCTGGATGCTCAATTACAGTACCATTGCAGGCAAATTTCTTCTTAAACGCCTTCACTAGTTTCTTTTTATCGTAATCATCAGCGATCCCTTGGACAGTGGTAAGGGTCTTCCTACCATTTCTCTGTTGAATTCTTATATGGATATAATCCTCAGTGCCAGCAGGAAGCAGGTCATCACCCTTACTTGCATCAGCAAAGGGGTCGAAAGAGTGGAGGTTCTGAATACCGGACATACGATATGATTCCTTTTCTTTGGTGGAAACAGCCTGCGGAAGGCGGCTGTGGGAGAAGGCAGGCAGGGGGAATGGAGAGTCGGGAAGCGAGGGGGCTCGAGGGGGAGGCAGCTGAGTCCTCGGCGGCTCAGTGACTGGGCCCAAGGCAGTTTCTTTATTCATTAAGCAATAAAAGCAACACATAGACAGAAGAACCTCTCACACCACAGTCATTTTTGTAGGGAGAGGGGGTGGCAGAGAAACTTTCAAGTCCCTCATGTCCAGTTATGAGTCTGAAGTCATTAATACTACTTACCACTGAATAAGAAGCTCCAGTGCCCATGGCAGCCAGCAGCAGCAATGATCACAGACATCAACATAGTTTCTGGCTTATGTCCCTTCTCTTAATCACTCACCACATCCCTACAATGTTATCAGTTTATTAATGCACCAATGAGGCCATCTACTGTGGGAGTCAAAGCTGAAACAGATCTTTCTTTGGACCACAACTCCCCAAAAAGACACAGAGTCTTCATATTAAGTATTAAAACTTGGTCTTACCTTCAGGTTGTTCCCAATTAGCTCTTAAAACTTAAATTGATTCAAAGCAGACCAGAGACAGCAAACTCCATTGAGACAGCCAACTCCACTGGAACAGATACAGGGGAATAATCACTGAGTGAGTGAGCCAGAGCCAGAGACTGCTGAGGGTCCAGATGTGAATCTGGGACCTTCAAGGGAGTAGACCTAAGCCAGGACCCCTGTAGATCTGGGTATGAGTCTGAGACCTTCAAGGAACTAGGACTGAGCCAGGACCTCTGCCAGTCTGGGCATGAATCTGGGACCTCAGAGGGAAGCATGAGTCTTGGACCTCAGAGGGAGTAAGCCTGAACCAGGATCTCTGTGGGTCTGGGCATTGGTCTGGGATATCAAAGGGAATAGGCAAGAACATGAAACCTCTGCAGGTCTGAGTGTGGGTCTAAGACTTCTGAGGGAGTAAGTCTGAGCCAGGTCCTCTGCGGTTCTGGGCACACCTGAGTCTGGGAACTCCAAGGCAGTAGACTGGAGCCAGAGACCTTTTCAGGACCAACTCCAAGCCTCTGCAGAAGTGGATCCAGACCAAGATTTACAGAACCAGGTCAAAACTGGTAAACTAGGTCAAAGTATGCCTGAGACAGAAAACTACAAGGGAGCGGAGCAAAGCACAGGAATACTGAGCTATCTTCAGGAACAAGAAATAACCAACACAGTAACTAGAACTGTGGCACTGACTGTACCATGAGGAACAACCATCTGAGCTTTGGATTCACTGGTACCTAGAAGATTAATCAACAGAATCTCAGACAGCCCCAACCACACCTAATAGAGGAACAGATGAGTAGAAAAGGTAAGAACACACTCAACACCACAAAGAGCAACACAACACCAGTAAAACCTGAAGACCATACAACAGCAAGACTTGAACAACCAAATAAAGATGAAGCAGAACAAAATGACCTAAAAAAAACTTCAAGAGAATGTTTGAAACTGTCAAATAATAAAATAATATTTTTTAAAGTAAAAAAAAAAAAGAGAAAATGTTTGAAACTCTTAAAGAGGGAATGAGAAATTCCCTTAAAGAAATGGAGAAAAAGACAAAAAAAATTGGAAGACATCAGCAAATCACTTAAAGAAAACCAAGAAAAAGCAATCACACATTTGAAAGAAACTATTCAAGACTTGAAAACTGAAATAGAGACAATAAAGAAAACACAATCCAAGGGATTTATAGAAACAGAAATCATGAGAAAACAATCAGGAACTACAAACACAAGCATGAACAGCAGAATATAAGAGATGAAAGAGAATCTGAAAAGGAAATAAAAAACATTAAATCTAACAAACGCTTAACCCAAAATATCCAGGAATATTTCATATAGGACAGTATGAAAAGGCCAAATCTAAGAATAATAGGTATAGAAGAAGGAGAAGAATTTCAACTCAAATTCACAGAAAATATATTTAACAAAATCATAGAAGAAAACTTTTCTAACCTAAAGAAAGATATGCCTATGAAGATACAAGAAGCTTACAGAACACCAAATAGACTATATCCAAAAAAAGTCCCCTTGCCACATAATAATCAAACAATCAAAACACTAAACATACAGAGTAAAGAAAGAATATTAAGAACTGCTAAGGAAAAAGGCCAAGTAACATTTAATGAAAGATCTATCAGAATTACACCTGACTTCTCATTGGAGACAATGAAAGCCAGGTCATGGGCAAGCATTATATGGACAATAAGAAATCAAGGACACCAGCATAGATTACTATACCCAGCAAAACTTTCAATCACCCTAGATGGACAAAACAAGAGATTCCAAGGTCAAACCAGACTTAACCAATACCTAGCCAGAAACCCAGCCCAACACAAAATACTAGAAGGAAAGCTCCAACCCAAAGAAGTTGGCTGCACTAACAAAACACAGACAATTGATGGTCTCATAGCAGCAAATCCCAAAGAAGGGGAAAATTCACAAATTAACATCACCAACAATGACAACTAAATTACCAGGAGATAACAATCACTGGTCAATAATAATTCTTAATATAAATTCACTCAACTCACCTATAAAAAGGCACAATACCCTTCACAATAGCCACAAATAGCATAAAATATTTTGGAGTAACTCTAACCAAACAAGTGGAAGACTTGTATGACAAGAACTTTAAATCTTTAAAGAAAGAAATTGATTAAGACACCAGAAAGTAGAAAGATCTCCCATTTTCTTGAGTAGGCAAATTAACATAGTAAAAATGGCAATCTTTCCAAAAACTATTTACAGATTCAGTGAAATGCCCATCAAAATCCCAGGAAACTCTTCACCTCAAAAGAATAGTACTCAACTTCATATGGAAAAGAAAACAAAAAACAAAACTCAGGATAGTCAAAACAATCTTGTAAAATAAAAGAATTTCTGGAGGCATCACAATCCCTGACTTCAAACTCTACTACAGAGCTACCATAATGAAACATCCTGGTATTGGCATAAGAACAGAAAGAAGGACCAATGGAACTAAGTCAAAGACCCAGATATTAATCCACACACCTGCAAACAGCTGATCTTTGACAAAGAAGCAAAAAATATCAAATGGAAAAAAGAAAACATATTTAACAAATGGTGCTGGTATAACTCAATATCAACATGTAGAAGAATGAAAATAGACCCATATCTATAACCATGCACAAAACTCAACTCCAAATGGATCAAAGACCTCAACATAAGGACAGCCACACTGAACCTTATAGTAGAGAGAGTGGGAAGTACACTTAAATTCATTGGCACAGACCACTTCCTAAATATAACCTCAGCAGAACAGACACTGAGAGAAACAATTAACAAATGGGACCTCCTGAAACTGAAAAGCTTCTGTAAAGCAAAGGACACAGTCAACAAGACAAAACGACAGCCTACAGAATGGGAAAAGATCTTCACTAACCCCACATCAGGCAGAGGTCTGATCTCCAAAATATACAAAGAACTCAAGAAATTGGTCATCATAAGAACATATAATCTAATAAAAAAAATGGAGTACAGACCTAAACAGAAAATTCTCAACAGAGGAGGCTAAAATGGCTGAAAGGGAAATGTTCAACATCCTTAGTCATCAGAGAAATACAAATCAAAACAACTCTGAGATTCCATCTTACGCCTGTTAAGAATGGCCAAGATCAAAAACACTGATGACAACTTATGCTGGAGAGGTTGTGGGGGGAAAAGGGAACACTTCTGCATTGCTGGTGGGAATGCAAGCTGGTACAGCCCCTTTGGATGTGTGGTGATTTCTCAGAAAATTAGGAAATAACCTTCCTCAAGACCCAGTAATACCACTTTTGGGTATATATTCAAAGGGTGCTCAATCGTGCCACAAAGACATATGCTCAACTATGATCATAGCAGCATTGTTTGTCATAGTCAGAACCTGGAAACAACCTAAATGCCCCTCGACTGAAGAATGGATAAGGATGGTACATTTACACAGTGGAGTACTACACAGCAGAAAAAAATAATGATATCTTGAATTTTGCAGGAAAATGGATGGAGCTACAAAACATTATTTTGAGTGAGGTTACCCAGAAACAGAAAACAATTATCACATGTACTCACTCATAAGTGGTTTTTAAACATTAAGCAAAAAAAAAAAAAAACAGCCTACAAATCACAATCCCAGAGAACTTAGACAACAATGACGACCCTAAGAGAGACATACATAGATCTAATCTACTTGGGAAGTAGAAAAAGACAAGATCTCTTGAGTAAATTGGGAGCATGGGGACTTTTGGAAAGGGTTAAAGGAGAGGGGAGAGGCAGGGATGGAACAGACAAAAATATAGAGCTCAATAAAAATCAATAAAAAGCAAAAAACTTAAATTATTTCAATTACATTAATCCACATTCTGCCACATGGCTTGTTACCTCTCCTCAGTATCTTATATCTATTTTCTTCACATATAGCAGGCAAATCTCCCACACCTCAGATTCTTTCCCTGAGTTCCTATCTCTCCCTAAAAATCTGCCTATCCTCTCCTGACTAGCAATTGGCCACTCACCTCTTCATTAAAACAATCATAATGTGCCTTAGACCATTCACCTCTTTATTAAAACAATCATAATGTGCTTTAGAAATGTAAGGATAAACAGAGACACAGATCAGCATCTTTCCCTTTTAGTCCAATAAAAGAATCTTTATCTAACATCTATAAACTGTATACATAAGAACAATTATCAGGAAAGAATTACATTCACAGTGTCTAATCCATTTGTACTTGGTAACTTTGGAGAAAGTACCCTGTTATCTATCCTATCTTGATGAGTTCAGAATTTTGAACCTCAATCACTTTCTATCATAACTTGCATTACCAACCTAAAAATTTCTTTTTAGACCTTAAAACATTTTTTTAGATAAACAACATTAAGTTTTCATGTTTCTCAACTTTTATAAGCTTTACATCTCTATCAGGAGTTTCTTTTTAGAAT